TGCAACCAAATGCATGGACACAGCTACACTGCTGTAAATCGACTATCAGGATAGCACAATGTGGAGACTAATACACAACGGTGTATATTCCAGAACATACTCTTGTAAGGATGCCAACATGTGCATATCTATAGCGGTTCTCTCACAAACTTAGATGCACTTTACTTCACTTGTATACCCTGGAGCTAAAAGCCAATGGTGCTGACTATATGACATTATCTGAAAACTGTAGTACAGTTTTGCATCATCATTGGTGGTTGTCTTAAATTATCAAGACTATTGCAACTTGCTATAATCTGAATGCAAGTTTTAGGGCATTACCATGGGGTGGGGGAAGAATTCCTTTCTCTAGACATTTTGGGTAAATATTCCTGTCTTGCTGACGGGAAAACACAAATGAAATAGCTAATCCAATGTCCAAGCTGGGAATGGAATTTGGCCCTCTTCTGCATAAAAGCCTCTAGATTATTTTGCCTCATGATCCAGTATAGTACCAATGTAGACTGCTTTACTGTTAGTTATTTAGTGAATGTCAATGATGTGTTTGAGGCTGTGCAAAAATGATAGTTTGGCATGATGGCTGCACCATGGAGTCTACCTCTAAGGCCACAGTCCTGAATGTGTAGAGCTCTAGTGATTCCAGTGGGTACCATTACTTGGACACAGAGATCCATCCATCTACCTTGTTGGGTGCTCAGTGTCAGAGCCAATTGAGCTACTCTAATAAACCAGTATAATGGTCAGATTTCATGGATGTGGAATTTGGTTTTAAAACTCTTGGGTGAGGTACTTGGTTCCTGGGTGGGTTATTGATTTTTACAAAGGAGCATTCTAAGAGGGATTTGAATGAAGTTAGGGTGGGTGTTTGGCACACAAGAATTAGGAGTATGTTCCACAAAAAAAGGGGAGCTGCAAAAGAATAAAGCGTGTGAACAGTCTACAACCCAAATGTGGAGGAAGGCATGATGGAAGGACCAGCAGTACTAGAAGGGACTTCACTAGACACAATACAATGCAAAACTCCCAGAGCACTGCTGCTAAAGATAAAAAGTTTAGAAAAAATTTTTTTAGAAAAGACCTGTCAAAATTGACACCAACAACATGCTGTTCTTTAAAAAGCTACCCCCAACAGCTGTATTGGTAATGAATGACTTGAGCTGAGATGCTACTGTAAAAGTTTCTGTCATATTAAGCAGATGATACTCATTGACTGTGGCAAGTGTTGTTGAAACTGACAAATCTATTGGAGCTCTTCTGTCAATTTTCCCTTCCCTTTCCCCTTAAGTGTTCCATTTACATTTTAATCACTGTCATAGTGATCCTCAAATACAGATCATCTTTATCAATTACACTCTCAGCCAAAACCTCTGGCAGTTAGGGCCCTTTTTATTTAGAATCAAATGAATCCCACCACTCACTAAAGCCCTGTTCGCTGTCTAACTTTCTTCTATGCTATGTTGTGCTGGAGAGAACAAACAGCTGTGTCTATTAAGGCTGGGTTTCTTTTTATTTGGATTGGAAATGTTCAGTATTGAGTTTGTTAAAATTAATTATAAGATGTCTATTTTGAGTGTTTTTCCATTGCATTTTCAATACATTGGATTCATAGATGCATAGATTAAGCTTTGACTAAGGGACGGGCAGGAAGAATATAGCCTTCAACAATATTATGCTTCAAAAAATTGATTAAATAAATATATTTGGTGCAGTATCTACCTTTTGTAAGGCCACATGTGTGGATGCAGCTGGCTGCAGATATAAAGCAGGTATCCATGAATTTGCTGGGTTCTAGATACAATACAAAATTTGTATCATATTCTCCTCCTAATAAAGTAAATATTTGCAGGGTTGTATATATTTTAAAAGGGAATTAAGCTTAATGCCATAGCATGACATGTTGAGGTGCTTAGCTGTCAGATGGATAACCTGAGGCAGAAAGGGGGGAGGCAGGAGCTGGGGCCCGTGGGGAGGTGGCTTCCCACAAGCACCAGATCTGCCCATCCTCCCAACCCCTACACTGCTGCCTCTGATGCTGTTTCCTACAGAGGCAGTGATGGGGTGCAGGAGCCAGTGCTGGGGGAAGCCCATTTAAAAGCAGACTCCCCAGAGCATACACTCCATGAAACTGCCTCTTCCACACATACCCCCACTGCCTCTGAGAGGCATCAGTGGGTGGGGAGAGGACAGGAGAGGATGCTGTGAAGCAGCCTCTGTCTGCAGTGGGTCCGAGCTCTCCGTGGACAGACTGCTCCAGCATCCCACGGAGCAGCCTCTGTTCACGGTGAGTCTAGGCCCACCATGGACAGAGGCTGCTCCACAGAAGCAGAGCCAGTCTGTGGGCAAGCCAAGCTCCCCGCGGACAGGTGATGCTGCCATCCTGAGCTCCTGCCTCTGTATCAGAGGCAGCAGCACAGGGCTACATGGCAGGAGCCAGTCTGCATGGGGAGCTAGTTTTTTTAAACTGGCTCCCCTCGCAGACCAGCTCCTGCCTACCATCCCACTTTCCTGCTTCTGACAGAGGAAGCAGCATAGGATGGCAGGTGGCTCCCTGGGAGTGGGGCCAGACTGCACTTGCTGCCAGTCCCGTCCCCGGAGACTATTGAATAGTTATGTAACTGCTAAAATTTGATGGAGTTACATGACTATTCAATTACATGCTATCTAACGTCCCTACTTGTGGTGGTTGCGGTTTACATTCTAGCCCAAATTTTGGGGGAAATAACCATATAACATGAACTGCTTTTACTCTTGTTTTAACTGTAAAGAAGTTTTACCAGAATAAGGAAATAAAAATCAGAATTGAGAACATTCATCCTAACTGTCATCCATACCTAAACGGAAGCCTAATATTTTCCCTATGCTGCTATTACTGTATATTGTTGCATCTGATTCTTGTTTGAGTCACTGGAAGAATTATGAATTTTAATTTACACTGAATTGTCTGGCAGAATAGGCATAAAAAGGACATGTATATTTAATCTCCACCTACAATCCCATTTACTTGCTACCTCCTTTTGCATTATCTCTTTCCTGTTTGACTTGGTGTTATTAGAGCAGGCAGCATATGGCCTCTTGCTTTAACTGACTCAGTGAGTGCTGCAAATATTTGCTGAATAGGTGCAACCTGCCTAGTGCACAGCTAACCCCTAAAGAGGCCTCCTGTGTATTTTTCTTGACACCGAATGTAGTGATCATGATAAAATATACATGCAGTGACCTTACTTGCCCAAGACTGTGCTGAGAGAGAGGCTGGAGCTCAGCTGTGAGCCTTGCTGAATATTTGGGAAGGAAAATAAAGGCAGTGTAAAGACCTTCCATGTTCCCTATAACCTTGGCTAGGATGCTAAGGAGCAAAGCCAACACAGCTGAGTCAGCACGAAGGGGAAAGAAAGCTATACCAGGACAGCAGTTGGTATAACTTATTTTACAGCACTTATGTGGATACTCTTAATCTGGCACAAGAGTAGGGTTGCCAATTGTGGTTGGACATATTCCTGGAGGGTTCATCAAATGGCAATCTTTAATTGCGGATCACTCTTTCATTCCGGGAGACTCCCGGGCAATCCTGTAGGGTTGGCAACTAGCTACACATCCTCACTTATTCACGGAGAGTTGCAAGGTGTCAGTCTCATCCTACAGAGCTGCTCGCTACAACCTCTTGGCTCATTAATGTTTTTGAGATGGCCCGTTTTCAGCATTCTTTAATACTGTTGTGGCTTTGAAGGCTAAAGAGGATTGTGTAATTATCTACTCTGATCTCCTGCCTAGCACAGATCATAGAATTTCACCAACTGGTTCCTAGACAGATTTTGTAGCAAACCCATGGTATGCTGGTGGTATAATCAAATCAGGTTGATGTTTATTTTGCCTCATATCAAAGCCACTTGAAGATGGGTTTTAAAGTTCTGAACTGGAATACTATGGGGTCCACTTTTTGCCTAGGAGAAAGTGTCATGAAAAAATTCCAGTGAAAATGTAGCCAAGAGAAAGCAAAATGAAAAATAAATAAATAAATTCTTGCTGGGAACAGGGAGCAGCGCAATATTTGGAGCAATTATCCCTATTCAGTTGACTCCCTGTCATATTCTGCAATTAGTTCACCAATGGAACAGAATGTGTCTATTAGAGTGTTCTCTTATTTTAATATCAGAGGGGTAGCCGTGTTAGTCTGAATCTGCAAAAGCGGCGAGGAGCCCTGTGGCACCTTATAGACTAACTGAAGTGTAGGAGCATAAGCTTTCGTGGGCAAAGACCCACTTCGTCAGATGCATCTGATGAAGTGGGTCTTTGCCCACGAAAGCTTATGCTCCTACACTTCAGTTAGTCTATAAGGTGCCACAGGCCTCCTCGCCTCTTATTTTAATGTGTCTTTTGCCTTTCTGGAAACTTAATCCAAAAATCTGCACATTTGGGTGTCTGACATTAACCTCGTGAAGTCCTACTTAAGCACCTAAATAAATGTGGCCATTCTGACTGGTGAGGAAACAAAACTGTTAAAATTACACAGCAGTTGTTGTTTTGTTTTTTCTGCTCTCCCACAACTCAAAAATCGTTACAGAGATTTTCCTGAAACTTTTGCAGAAGAGTTCCATTCTTAGCTGAGACTGAGTATGAGGACTTACTCAGTAAGTCATGAGCAACAGGGCAATTATCACAGAATTCTGCATAAGCCTTCCAACTGCCCACAAGCTGAATATAAGCATGAACACATTATTATTGCATCAGATACATTTGCTGGTAAATTGCCTGTATTAGCACATTTTAAAAATTCATGCCTACAATACAACAATTGATGCCGTTACAAAATATGCATTCTAATAGTGTTTTAAGATTGATGTCTATCAAGCTGTTTAAGCATCACTACCAATCTGCTTTTATATTTCGTAACAGTAGAGCCACGCTGCTTTCTTTTGGACAGCTTCTCCCCGTTTATTGAGCTTGTGAATCTACTACAGATTCTTTTCCCTTTTTTGACCTTAACTCTTTTCCTCTCATTCCAGACATCTATTTCTTCTTGTTCCATTCCCTTCCAGCCAAGACCAGAGTAAATAAGGGAGTTTTAGGACTTCAAGACTGTGTAAAATGGCTGAATTACAAAGTAATGAACACTCTTTGTGACTGGAGTCATAGCACACGTATTTATTGCTAAGCAACACAGACTGATGTCAATGAGTTTTGCCAAATGCAGATGGTGAGTAGGTTTATTGAACATTTGAAATCATTCTAATATAAATCTTGAAATTTGGTTCTAACATAAACATAAAATGTGCTCAGCTGGTCAGAAGGAAAGTCTGTATAGTGAGTAAATAGAGAGACGATGTAAATTTAATAATAGTTCTGCACAATTGTTCTGTATTTTAGGGAGCTACTTGTAGGTGAGATTATTCATAACTGCATCTTCTAACTGCATCTTCTAAAAATCATAAGTAATGCTTTGAAAAACACTTGCAAACCTTCCTACAGTGATGGCATTTTTAACAGTTACTGTTAAAAATAAGGGAAGAACTGTGGGGGGATTTTAAATTTTGTGGGTGGTGTTTTGAATGTAAAAAATATTGCTAGGGTTTCTCGTGAATGTAAGACTCATAGTACTGTTCAGTGAACGCCCATGGAACCATGTTCTTTCCCACACAGTTCTGCCAGAACATCTCACTCCAAATATAACTGTTGTACCATTACTGAGTGCTGATGCATAATCCTGCTGAGAAGTTGTGCCAAATCATACAAAATGCTTGTACTGTGGAAATGCATACACTGAATTCATCTGACAATTTCCATCTGAGCCCAAAGATCCCAGAGGAAAAACAAATTCATTCATCAGCTCCAAGTGCCCCCATGAAAACCATGTTGATCAGCTGAATGTTGACACAGAACTTATCCCATAATGAAGGTCAGTACACCAAAGGAACAAATTCTTTGGACTTCAGGGTGGTTTGGGCAGCTTTATGGAAAACAAATTTAGGGATCAAAAGCAGCCTTTGAAGCCTGAGCTTGGAGGGGGGTTGGCTCACTGCAGTGGTGATGTGTTCAGTCTCAGGAAAAAGAGAGAGTACAAGCAGCCAAATGGTTCCTAAAGCTTACAAATGGAACAGCACAACTTTGGTGAGAGTATCAATGGAAAGGCTGCAAAAATATAAATCAATTCACTAAATCAGGTGGCAATGGTTCTAACGTAGTTGAGCACAGTGCTATAGCCTCTTTAGTTTGGCATAGGAACCAAACAACTTATATCTAGAATTGTTCTGATTCATTGTAGAATAAAAGTGTTTGTTTGGACAAGTCAACAAAGCAGTCTCTTGCATCTGATGCAACGTGAGCATGATTAAATTACCTTAGCATACAAAACCTGGGAAAAGAAGAACTTACTGAGAATACACCAGGGATGGCCAGAGGAACATTTGTTTGTTTTACAGGACACCAGCTGGCTTTTTCAGGAAAGTACTTCAAGTATTGTTTAGCCATTTTTATGTATTCATATGTTTGAGAACAAAGATTAGAATTAGGTGAATTCAGTAAAGGAAAAAACTGATTAATTTTGGATAATGATTCTATGTGGGGGGAGTTCTACTTGTTTGGGTTTTTTAAATATTTTTCATATTTCATTAAACTTTTGTGAAACTAGTCCTGTTCATTCCAGATATGTTTGATATTTGTAAATGTTCACCTACTGCTAACAACAAATTTTTAACTCCGAGTTCACTTTCAGAATTCATGATAGCCACTTGTGCTGTGTGGTCACATGGTGTTATCTCTGTTATCTTACTGGATGATTGACACAACTGCAAAAAGAGGAATAGCAAATAGTGAATAATGTATATTGAATAATGAAACTTGCAGAATTCAGACATTTCATAGACAATCAGCTGTCCAATATTTGTGAATAGTAATGACATCAGTAATAGCAGAAAATTGAGTTGTTTAATCACAAATATCTTTGCAAATATATATTTTTTCAATTTTCAACCACCTATACTTAAAATACTTTACTCCTGATCATGTACACGGTGCCAAGAGTTCTTTTCTTTTCAGTCTTTAGCACACTGTTGAAATATCTAGCAGACATGCTATTTCTTTTTAATAGCTATTAACTCACTTGGTCAAGATGAAAACAAAATATGAAAACTTGTCAAGAGGTAAAGTGCTGTGAAAAAAGAAAACTGCTGAAAACTGTAATCAGTGTTGTTGTTTTTTAAAAAATTAGCATCTTAGCTTTGTCTGCGATAAATGTTCATTTCAAAGACGAATACCATAAATTTTAGCACTTGGGAAAATCTTATGTTGACAACAGCTGGACTCTGAAGTATTTATTTATCTGTGAAAGAGTTGTATAGACTGTGCAATGGCAGTTCAAGCAGCTTTCTTGCCCCTTCAGTGTGCTTTCATCTTGAGCTGGTCAGTCCATCTCCATTGGCAAGAGTGTTTGTCCCCATGTCCGTTGTCTCAGATAGGTGAGAAGAAAGACAAGATACAAGGGATGTGGTTTAATTAATTATTAACTTAATTAATCTAGGAACTCTATATCCAATACCTGTTTAGCACAGGTCATAATTCCTTCCTCCAGTTGGTGGAGAGCTGCAATTAGCTTCCCACCTCTCCACATCTTAGTCCCCAGACTGTCAGGGTGAAGGGGCTGGGAAATCGGGATTGACTTCTCTCTTCATCAGACGTCAGGCGCTCTCCCTCTTTAGTCTCCAGTTTCCTTCAGGGAAGCCTTCCCCTAGTCTGCTTCCACTTCTGTCTTATTAGGGAACCAACCCCTCTATGGAACAACTAGCATTTCTGCACATAACAGACGGCTCTTCTTCCTCTTTGCAGCAGCTGTTAATCCAGGCACAAGAAGGGGATGAGGATAGAGGGACAGGTTTAGCTACCCTCCTCAGGTGCTCAGGGAAAAGCGTTTAAGGGGATAGTACTGAGCCACCCAGCAGTTTAAATGATGCCTTTCTCCCTTCTCCCGTCCCACTGGCCGATCACCCTTCTCAACCCTGGATGGATGGAAGACCTTTAAAGGAGCCACTTCCCTCTTTTCCCAGCAAGCCCTTGAGATTGCGGGGGGTGGGGGGTGCGTTCTTCTGTCAGCCTGTCTGCTGAGACTGGCAACTAGGACTCAGATTAGTGTTAGCTGTGATGGCAAGACCTTCTAGGAGACATAGAAATCTGTCCACCAGTAACTAAAATACACCATATTAGCTCATTTTCCTAAATCTACCTAGTTCAGTGTGTTGAACAAAGTGACAAATTGGTCAACAGAAACAACAACACTGATTTCTGTGTTTGTTTTGTCTGGTGGATTTCCATTTATTGATTTTCCTTGGTTTATTTACACATTTTTCTCCCACTTTAGCTCCTCCCAGATAACAGCATGAACACCTCAGACTCCACCCTTGATTGAAAAAAGCATCGCTATGCAGAAAAACAAGACCTGTTTCCCTCTTACTGAAATCAATGGGACATCAGAACATGTGTAAAGTTATTCACATGCTGAAGTGCTGTCATAAGCATTTTCTTGCATGCTTTCCTGCATGAGGGCTTCCATGCGGCTGATTCCTCTCCTTCTATTGCACACGTTACTGCTCTTCCAGTGAGGGTTCCAAGCTCCTACTATCTAGTCTGCAGATTCTACTTTCCAGCTTCAGCTCCATTTCAATCTATTGCTCACTAGACACATGTGACTTGAAATCTGTCCCCACTACATGCTTCAGTTGAAAGGAACATGATATATTTTATTTATGTTCCAACCAATTAATCTGAACTTGACGAGGAACTAATTCCTTAGAGTTAAATTATGTAACCCTTCTCACATAAAGAAAAGTCTGCCCATGCTACCAGCCCCAATATAGCTATAGAGTCTACTCATGTAAGTAACTTCTCCACAGTCTGGGACTTAATACTGACTATCACAGCTGAAGATTTGTATCCGAGCACAAAAGCACAGTAATATTTTTCTCATGTTCAAATAAATACACATAAAATATTTTTGTCCCACAAAAAATTGGATTAACTCTATTAAGGCTGAAAAAAGCTAAAATTATAGATTAAAAGCTTACAATCAAGTAGGCTTTGGGATGGGTAAACTTGTCTCAGTGACATAACTTTTGAGCAATTACTGAAAGCAAACCCAAAATCTAGACTTTGTAAGATTCACCATTCTATACTGTCCATGTTAACTTTAACTACTACACCATTGAGAGTCTGAGACAATAAGACAATTTCATTACATCTGGTTTTAAATATTCAATACGTCACCACCATCCCAGCTTTGAAAATATATAGTTCTTTCCAAAAAAAAAGCATATGCTGTGCACAAAAAATTAAAATGGAAGAATACCTCAGAGGAAGGCAGGGTCTGTCAAATTCCACTGAATTTAAATAGCAACTTTTATGAACAACTTTGGTTAAATGCTGATTGAAATTACTGGAAACTCATACATGTACTATAATATATTAATAAGAACCACAATAGTTTAAAATGCATTAAATTACAGGTTGAAACTCTTAACTGGGACTAGAGCTGGACTCTTAACATGGTCCAGCTGGACCACAGTTGTGGCCAGCCTTGATTGTCCCAGTAAAGAGTTAGCACCTAGGAGCCCTGCAGGCTGGCAGGTCAGCGGGAGCCCAATGCACGGCAGTGGGACCGCCCAGAAGGGCGGTGAGGCTGCCTGGTCCGAAAGTAGGAATAGGCATGGACAGAGGCAGCGGGGCTGCCGAGTACTGCAGATGCTGCCTGATATGCACAGAAGCAGCAGGGCTGCTCGGTAGGACAGCGGGGGCCAGCAAAAGTGGGGAGCTGGCCGGGAGGCTGTAGGTTGGGCTAAGGCTGGAGGGGCTGGTAGCAGGGGTCCAGAAATGACCTCCCCTGGTCTGGCAAAATCCATCATCCAGGACTGACCAGGTCTTGAGGGTGCCAGACCAGATAGGTCCAACCTGTATTATGAAAAGTAGTAACTCCCCATCACAAATGGACGTCTCTCTCTGATGGCAGCCTGTATCACAGAGGTGCTGTGTAAGTTGCCATTTGTGATATGACTATGGAGATGAGCAAGAGCTCCTTTTTTATCTGCTTCTTCCATCTTAGAAGTCACTTACTTCATCAAGAAAGGGGTACAGAGGGCATCCCAAATTAATAAATTGGCCACTATTATTATTATTGTTATTAATAAATATGGGAGAAACTTTTCATAGAATCATAGAATCATAGGACTGGAAGGGACCTCATATAGAATCATAGAATAATAGGACTGGAAGGGACCTCGAGTGGTCATCGAGTCCAGCCCCCCGCCCTCAAGGCAGGACCAAGCTCCACCTACACCATCCCTGACAGATGTCTGTCTAACCTGTTCTTAAATATCTCCAGAGAGGGAGATTCCACCACCTCCCTTGGCAATTTATTCCAATATTTGACCACCCTGACAGTTAGGAATTTTTTCCTAATGTCCAATCTAAACCTCCCTTGCTGCACTTTAAGCCCATTACTCCTTGTCCTGTCCTCAGTAACCAAGAGGAACAAATTTTCTCCTTCTTCCTTGTGACACCCTTTTAGATATTTGAAAGCCGCTATCATGTCCCCCCTTAATCTTCTTTTTTCCAAACTAAACAAGCCCAGTTCATGAAGCCTGGCTTCATAGGTCATGTTCTCTAAACCTTTAATCATTCTTGTCGCTCTTCTCTGTACCCTTTCCAATTTCTCCACCTCTTTCTTGAAATGTGGCGCCCAGAACTGGACACAGTACTCCAGCTGAGGCCTAACTAGTGCAGAGTAGAGCGGCAGAATGACTTTTGTGAGCATGGCATTCAGTTACTTTTAGGTGATGTTCCAACAAGTATTTCAATAAACCCAGTTTCTGAATTCAGTCCTTTGAGGACCTCTGGATAGGCCAAAAAAGTAAAGTTGTTTGGCCCTTTGAATAAGTTGCAAACGTACTGTATTGCCTCATAATTTACTAACAAATTTGTAACTTGGTTTTTAAGGTGGAATAAAGGTTAATAATTATCCTCAAAGGAAGCATCTTTAAGAATAAACATGTTTTCTCTGTGTTCTCTTGGAGAAGGAACCACTGGAGGAAAAAGGCAGTGACAGGTGGCATTTTATTACTGGGAAAACCTCTCTCGATATTTTATTAGTTTGAAACTCAATCACTCAGTGCACATATCTCCTAGAGGATTTATCTTTGCTTTGAGGCCCTATGAACTCTAAGGTCTGTTGCTGTGGAGGGTATGAGAGAGATGTAAGCAAAGAAATATTTTCCTCTGAAAATGATGCTGAAATCAAATATTCTCTAGTGTAAAACAACACAGGATATTTTCCATCTTTTCTTTTTGGAATCTTTCGAGATGCCTCAATGACAACTTAAGTTAAATGACAAGGAGATGATGGTAATGAGAGCTCTGAAACTTTTTTTTCCAGTAAAATTCTCTAGGTATTAATTTGAGGATCTTCAAGAAGTATAATCAACATAGCTCCATTTTTAAAATAAATGCTCATGTCAATGGACTCTCACAGATTAATGCCAGCTCAGGAACTGTCCCTTTAAATATTTGTAGCTTGCTGAAGTTAAAACATTAGCTTTAAACCAAATTCAGTGGGTGTGTCTAGACTACAGGGTTTTGTCGACAAAAGTGGCCTTTTATCTACAAAACTATACCTGCATACACAACTGCTGAGTTCTGTTGACATAACGTTAACAGAACTCAGCAGTTTTGTTGACGGCGGTAAACCTCATTCTACGAGGAATAATGCCTTTTGTCGACAGAATTCTGTTGACAGAAGGTGTTATTGCATCTACACTGTCCTTTGCGTCTACACTCTCATGTCAACAAAGTGGCTTGCTTTGTCGACAGAACTGGATGTAGTATCTGTCGACACAGCCTCTGTCAACAAAAGCCTGTAGTCTAGATGTACCCAGTGTGTCCTTTTTACACAGTGTTGTGTTCACACTGGAAATAATGTCATTAAATAGATAATCCAAAGGGCTTGCTTAGGGCCACTTTAAGGAAAAGAACTTTCTTTGTGCCTCCTGAAAGTCAAGGCCACTTTCAGTCACTGAAGATACTACATAGAGAAGTTAGCATTTCAGTGTTTTTATACTATAAAAATAAACAGGGTAATAAAGAAATAAGCAAGGAAGCTTCAGTTCAGTATTAAAGGCAGAAGTCTGAGATAATGGTAGCTCATTATGCAAACAGAGCATTTGCAAAGTTTGCGTAATTCACTGAGGTAAAGATTATGTACTTCCATTGATGGAGTAAAAGCAATTTGCAAAGCAAAATTCAGTGTAATGTAATAAATGCATCCAATCTAACCTTCCCTTTAACAAGACTTCAGAGACAGAAACAGCACAAACATGATAAGATTAAACACAGAACACTGTCACTAAACTCTCAGTGTAAAATTCAGAAACTCCATTAACAATAGAAACTATTCAGTGAAATAGTTCCAGTAACACATTTGCAGAACTGAATACCTGCTAGTGCTTAAACACCTCCGTAGAACAAGAATAAAAGAAATGACAGAAAGTACTTCTTTTACAGCCAGAGCTGTTACAGCAAAGATGAGATTAGATCTCTTTCTAAAATATGCTTTCCTCCGCTTCTGCGAGAAGTTCTGAAGCCTGTGCATGCAGACTGTTAGATAGTAGGGGTCATGATGGCCCCTTCCCACCTTGGAATCTATGAGTCACCATGTTTGTTACCTTCTTTTGTGTACCAGGAGGAGAAAGGGATGACATTCTTCTTAAACTCACAGTTGCAGATTTAATCAATGACAATAAAATCTTACACCTCAGAGCATCAGCTGGTTACCTTCAGGGGTCAGGAAGAAAATATTTCTCCTGGTGCATAGTCGCTGTGTTCTAGGGGATTTCTATGTGTGTGGTAAAGAGGGTTGACTTTTTTTCTCAGAAGCATCAGAGATTGGCCACAGCTGGAGATGGACACAAGACAGTGTAGACAGTGCCTTGGGGAGCTCAAGAGAATACTTGTCGGAATCCATCAGCCTAGAATTGAGGACTGCATGTCTTGAGGTGGGTGCTGTTTCCTCATTGGTAGGGTTGCCACCAAGAACTACTGAAAAACTGAGTCCTGCAGGAAGTCCTACTCTGAAGGGCATGAGCAACAGCCCTCCATGATTCCCAGATTGGCTGACATTCTCCATATAAACCAGGAAGCCTTTTCAGGAGGTTGTTTGAGCAATGCAGACTTATGGTGTACTTTTCCCATAGGCCAAATTTGCTCCTAGTTGAAACTTTCCTGACCTGGCTCTTGTCCTCAGCCTGGTTCCCAGTGCTGATCTTGATATACCATAGCAAAGGTACTAAACTATAAGGCTACGTCTACACTGGCCCCTTTTCCGGAAGGGGCATGTAAATTTCACCTTTCGTAGTAGGGAAATCCGCGGGGGATATTTAAAGTAGGAATAAGAGCCTCCGGAAAAGGGCACTTTTTCCGGAGGATCGGGGCCAGTGTAGACGCTCTTTTCCGGCTTTTTTAAAAGCCGGAAAAAAGCAGCGGACATTTTTATTTAAATGCTGCGGGGGATATTTAAATCCCCCGCGCATTTCCCTACTACGACTCATGAAATTTACATGCCCCTTCCGGAAAAGGGGCCAGTGTAGACGTAGCCTTATAGTTTAGTACCTTTGCTGACCCTGGTGCAAGAACCTGGCTTGGCCTGACCCTGATTCTCACCTGGCACTCTCAATTTGGTAACAGACTCTGACTTCACAATTTAACTTGGCCCGGCTTCAGACTCTTTGGCCTACATTCTGAGCAGCTCACCCAATGCTAATGGGTGCCTGCAACCTTGCTCTAACACCACTTATAAATGTTTGGCCAGTGAGTCTTGTTCAATGGTCAAAATGATTGCCTTCTGTGGAGTAAGGAAGGAATTTTCTCCCAGGTCAGATAAGACCTTGCTCAGTGGGAAAGTCCTCTTGCTCTGCAGCAAGAAGTGCAGATAATTGGCTAGGATCATCTGTGTATATTTTCCTAATCAATTCCCTCACATTGATGAGACCTTGGTCTTTCCAATCATCTGCAAGTGAACCACAATACATTAGTGTTATAAGACTGAAATGCTATAGTTTAAAGCAGGGGTGCAGGACATTTTTGGGGGTCGGGGGCCACTAATCAAGTGAGAAGAAAAATAATCAATCGGGGCCACACACAAGTGAAAAGTGGGGGGAAAAAACCTCTGTGTGGCCCTTGAATGAAAAGGATAAAGACACTCCCCACATTCCCTTTGCACACCAGAGCCTGGGATGGGGGGCAGCCTAGTAGATTTTATGTGCTCAAGCCCTCAGGGTGGCAGCAGGGGAGCTGGAGCAACAGCACAGGGGTGAGCATCGGGCTGGATTCAGGCAAGCCAAGGGCCACATCCAGTCCCTATGCCTAAGTTCCCTGCTCTAGACTTGTTGTCCTCAATGTAGTGGTATGTGGGTTAAATATAATGGACTGTGATATACAGGATGTGATCGTAGATAATCAAATGGTCTCTTCTGGTCTTAAATTCTACAGTATTAAATAGTGCCTTTATTTTGATTTGGAACTGCCTCAGACAATCAGATTATTACAAGTTGCTGCCTTGTTAGTGGCTGAGGGGAATCTGGCTTCCACAATGTTTCTTTCTGAATATCCACTCTGACTCCTGTCCCTCAATACATGTCTGCTGCAATATCTGAATCCCTCTGCAAGCTATCTCCCCATCTACCTTAGTTATGAGATTTAATGAGCCATATTTAATTGCACATAACCAAAAGGGCCATATTCAATTTCACATCTTTGCAAGCCATCTCTCTACCAGAT